TGCAGGAAGTTACAGCTGTGTGTGTGTGTGTGTGTGTGTGTGTGTGTGAGAGAGAGAGAGAGAGAGAGAGAGAGAGAGCATGCCGAGGGACAGAAATCCTAGCCAAGTGAAACCTCACATAATCCCCAAGTTTAATTTCAGCCAAGACTGTCCAGCTCCTGCCCCACCAGGTCCCATCCCCCAGAGTTCCAGCCTTGTCTCCCGTTGCCCCCTTGCCCCTGCGGGTGGAGGTGCTGAGCTGCACCACTGCAGCCAGGTCTTGAGGGGGCCCCAGTTCCATGGCCTGCTGTTAACCTCAACCCAGCCTGACACACTCCCCTCTGAGGCAGAGACCCTGGTTCAAGTTCAGGCTCCAGCATCAACCATGACCTTAGGCAAATTTTTCTGCTTCTCTGTGCCTGTTTCCTCATTTGCAAAATGAAAGACTGGATTAGAGGTTTTCAAACTGCTCTAAGGGGCAGTAGAGATGCCATGGGTTGGGGGAGGAAGCCTAATCAGGTGATCTTTGGGCCTCTCATTCTCTAATTCTCTGATGGTACCAGCACATTCATGTCACTCTGTCTCCTCTCCTGCTGGGTCACTAAGCCTGATCAGCCTCGCCGCTAAAGCCGCTACGCCGGCCCGGCCCCTCCCTGACTCAAGACTCTTACCAGTTCTCACTGCCTGCAATGGACTCCCAGCCTCTCAGCACGGCATTCCAGGCCTTCTCAAATCTGACACAAACCAGGACAAGGCCAGCTTGCTCCAGTGATCCCCACTCTCTGATCCTCAATAAATTCTTACTTCTGACTCCAAGTCTTTGATTTTTCCTCTAGTTTAGGAAGTGCTCCCACCCCACCCCCAAAATGCCCCATTTCTTCTTTTGCCGTCTTCCAGTCAGTCCCCCTTCTCCAGGACCTGTGTTAGTGACCCAGAGGATCAAGTTCAGCTCCAGGTTTGTGTTACTGAGGTCTGGAGACAGGCCTATGAGCAATGGCTTGCTGGCAAGTTCCTCTGAGGCACGGAGACCCCATTCTCAGCAGAACAAGAGGGTGTTACCTCTGGTTCCAAACCCACCATCTCACTCTGCTTCTCTCTCTATAATACAGTCTCTCTCTCTCTCCTTCATTTGCCTTTTTTTCTCTACTTTCTGCACTCTTGAATCTAAATTTAAAGGAATATTGATCATGTTCACTGGATAAAAGTGTATGTTTCTTCCATATACATTCTTCCATAAGTCATATATACATATTTACATCGATGAGGATCGATGTAAATTGTTTTTAAGGTTTGTGTAACCAACTCTTAGTTGATTTTTTAATGTTTATTTTATTTTTAATTGAAGTATAGTTGATTTACAATATTTTGTTAGTTTATGGTATATAGCATAGTGACTCATTTATACATATATATATTCCTTTTCACATTCTTTTTCATTATAGGCTACTATATGGTATTGAATATAGTTCCCTGTGCTAGACAGTAGGACCTTGTTGCTTGTCTATTAAATGTTTATTTTCTTTTCCCATAATAAATACTCAAAGAAAAATTGAAAACTCCAAAGAGCTAGAAGATTGAAAATTTACCAATAGTCTTAACTCCCAAAGATAATCAGTAGTAACATTTTGATGTACTTCCTTCTAGTTTTTTCTTCTATGCATATTTTAAAAATATTTCTTGTGGTTATGCTGTATATACAGTTTTGTATTTTTTGGCTTTTTTCATTTAAATTTTTAAGTGTTAAATTTAAAAAATGCAAAAATTTAAAAAGAAAGAAAACAAATATAAACAAAGAAAAAAACCAAAAAAAAGAATAAAAATTTAACAGTGTTTTCTCATATTATTATAAACTGTGACTAGAATCTGTAACCATATGTGCATGTTTGCTTACTGGTTCACCCTGACTATAATTTCTTCAACTCGATCCCTATTTGGCGGCATTTAGGTTGTTTTCCTTTAAATCATTTTTTCTTTTGTAAATGAGACTAGATCTACAGTTGATTATTGTGCTGATGACCATCTACAGAAAAAATGTTCTTCATCTTTGCCTTGGAGTCTGGGCCCACACATAATCCCGAGTGGCTCTGATGAGGGAGCTTGGGTTTCTGTGTCTGTGTGACTCGTGGAAGGGGGCTCTTTCTATTGGAGCATGACTAGCAGATAGTGGGTGGTCAATAAATACTAAAGGATGACAAGGTATTGTATATATTAGATATTTGTGTTCATGTCTATTTCTCTGCATCCCTGTTGTTGCTCTTTTTGTGCATTGAAAGTGGGTACTCCCTTTGTGCAAAACTCTGAATCATTCCATATATGTGCAAGTTTGTGTGTCTGTAAAGGCGGGTGTCTATATTTATGTGAGATGTGTATAGCTCTGCCTGTGTGTGTGTATCCTCACGTCGGCCCTGAGTGTGTGTTATACCCCACCCTGTGTGTGTGTCTGGGTGTGTCTGTTGGTCTCTGTGCCTGTGTGTGCACAACTAGGTTGGGCCTTGTTTTGGGGAACCGTGTGTCTGTGTCTGTGTGTGCCCAGGCTCAATTCTGTGTGGATCTGTAGGGGGACTCTCTCCATGTGCATCTTTGTGTTGGGTGTGTGTGCCGGGCCTGGGCTGGCGTGTGAGTGTGCTAACAGCTAGGGGAGCTGGGCCTCGCTTGCTTTCCCCCTGGGAGCAGAGTAGTGCCCAGGGCGCAGGTGACGCACCCTCTGAGCTCCTCATTCTCCTGGGAACCAGCTAGGGAGAGTGAGTGAGACCGAGAGTAGACTGCGTCAGGAGCACCGGCCCCTTTTGCAACCAGCCCAGGCCCCAGGCGGTAACGAGGCTCTCACAGGTCAGACCTGCCCACTGAGCCTGGCTGCCAGGAAACCCCGCTCCCAGGGCTGAGCTGTCAGCGCCCTCCTTGGGCCTGGGCCAAATCCTCCCGTAAGCAGCACTCAGCCAGCCGAGGGGCCACATTAGTCATGCTGTGGCAACAGTAGGGAGTGACTTCCTGGGCCTGGGCAGTGCTGGCTGTCCGGTGGGGAGGAGGGGGCACTACTTTCTGTCCCTGCATGCAGCAATGCTTAGGCGCCCTGTCTCCTCCATTACCACCTTCCATTCTTAACAACTGAACTTCAAGACTGGTCAGATGGCTCTCATTAGCTCCAATACTCAGATGAGAAGACTGAAGCACAGAGCCACGTGACCAAGGTGAAGCAGATGGGGCTTGGGCCTGGGTTTCCTGACCCTGGGTCCAGGCTTCTTTCTGGTGTGCTGCCTGGGGGTTCTGCCCCCTAGAAATGGTTTTCTTAGAGGGCAGGGCTGGGAGGCATGATTTATGGGACAGATTAAGTTGTCCTAGGCTGAGGAGTGGGGCAG